AACCCTTTCCCTCACTAACTCTTTCTTGACTAACTTTTTCTTTGACTAACTCTTTCTTTGACTAACTCTTTCCCTCACTAACTCTTTCTTTGACTAACTCTTTCCCTGACGAACTCTTTCTTTGACTAACTCTTTCCCTGACGAACTCTTTCTTTGCTAACTCTTTCTTTGACTAACTCTTTCCCTCACTAACTCTTTCTTTGACTAACTCTTTCCCTGACTAACTGTTTCTTTGCTAACTCTTTCTTTGACTAACTCTTTCCCTCACTAACTCTTTCTTTGACTAACTCTTTCCCTCACTAACTCTTTCTTTCCCTGACTAACTCTTTCTGACTAACTCTTTGACTAACTCTTTCTTTGACTAACTCTTTCCCTGACTAACTCTTTCTTTGACTAACTCTTTCCCTGACTAACTGTTTCTTTGACTAACTCTTTCTTTGACTAACTCTTTCCCTGACGAACTCTTTCTTTGCTAACTCTTTCTGTGACTAACTCTTTCCCTCACTAACTCTTTCTTTGACTAACTCTTTCCCTGACTAACTGTTTCTTTGCTAACTCTTTCTTTGACTAACTCTTTCCCTCACTAACTCTTTCTTTGACTAACTCTTTCCCTGACTAACTGTTTCTTTGCTAACTCTTTCTTTGACTAACTCTTTCCCTCACTAATCTCTTTCTTTGACTAACTCTTTCCCTCACTATCTCTTTCTTTGACTAACTCTTTCCCTGACTAACTCTTTCTTTGACTAACTCTTTCTTTGACTAACTCTTTCCCTCACTAACTCTTTCTTTGACTAACTCTTTCCCTGACTAACTGTTTCTTTGACTAACTCTTTCTTTGACTAACTCTTTCCCTCACTAACTGTTTCTTTGACTAACTCTTTCCCTGACATTCTAAAAGTCCGTAACACGGAAGTTTCTCCCCCTAAACTTCTTTTGATAATATATATATATATATATGTATAGATATTTATATATATGTACATGTAATGTGTATAATTATATATATATATGTGGGAGCCGATCGCAAATGCAAGTCTAAGAAATATATGAATTATGAAAGGGCGTGTGATTTCAGCATCCGCGATTGTAAATCCCTGCTTTGCGATTAATCGCCGATTGGTTTTGCGATTGAGACAAAACATTTGCTGTATAAGAATCAACTATTGTAAGAGGAAAAATCAATATATTATATTTTAATTCCATGATATCTATGTTACATTTCAGCCTTATACTGTATTCGGGTCTGCCTAGAGACTGTGTTCAATAGTGATAGCCAATAGCAAAGAAGAATCAGAACAACAAGTTCAAAGTTTAACAACCCAGATCAATTCAATTTTCAAAAACTGTCGATGAAATCCGCGATTGGTTCGCGGTTGATCCGTGATTCGTGATTGCTCCGCGATTGCTCCGCGATTGTTAAACCTGCCTGACTAGGCCCTGGCTCACGCCATGTCTCTAAATACTGTGATTGACACCGTTGAGATCCCGGTTGATTCGCGATTGATCGGTGATTGTAGCTGGCCCCAGATACCTTTATTTTGATCAACACCCATGTAGATATAGATATGGATATAGATATATCACCTGAGTTCCTGGAGTTTAGCTGATCCCATTTATAACCGGGCCATAACGGTCTGGCTGTATGGATATGAGTACAATTACATTGATCATATCCATGATTATTAGCATGACTAATGGCCAGTCATGGATTTCCAATATGATGATGTAGCAGATAATATATTACTGTCATATCTACAAATCGATAATATCTATGTATTAATACAATTATGGATAATATTACAAATCATGGTTCATTAATATTGTAATATTATCAATATATTGATATTTACTCAGTGGCTGCAATCTACCCCTGTTGATTATTGATGATTAGTTGGTCATTTATTGTCATTTATTGTTGTCATTTAGTAGTGGAAAACCATCATACAGTATGGGGATATTATCATTTAATAAGTGATGGTTGATGATAACTATACTGGATGGTATTAAACTAGTTATGATAGTTATAGTTATACTATAGTTATAGTTATGGGTTTTAAGATGTTTTAAGCATCAAACTATAACGAGCCATCGAGCGTGGATATAACTCTGCAGATGCTTGATGATTTGGGATGGTCATAATCCACTGGGAATCCCGTGAAGGGAAGACACAGAGTTTTGAACATTGCTCAGCTGTGGAAAAAATGTTGTTTTTCATGGGAAGTAGTACTCAGTACCAACAAGCAATGTTGGGGTTGATTTTAACATCAGTCGATTGAGGGTCTAGGTGCATGCGTCACTTGGAAGCCAATATTGAGGTATGTTTACTAGTTGGTGCACCCTCAGCGTTGTATGTTTAGCACAATTAACATGCAAAGTCTTCTGACACATATTTGCAAAGGTGCAGATTGGCCAGCGACATTTACACTTTCTACACCATACGTAATGTCAGGTGAACATATATATGTGAACATGCTCCCTGGGATTCCATGGGCTTTTGTCTGTGCAGGCAGGGCAACTATGCAGCTGCAAATTCCTTCCTTGATTCCTTTGCCACGCATCGACAAGCGAAAGGTCCCTCGAAGCATCGCTTTCAGTGGGATCCTCATTGCATATCCTCTGCGTTTATTGACGTTTTTTTAAAAAACTACAGGCAGAGCAGTTCAAACAACTGTGATGGTTGTTCAGAGCTGGATACAGCATGTCTAAATCCCCTGCATCAAAATGAGATCCTCCGTCTTTGGCTTCACACTGGGCGCAGGTTTGCCTGCCTTGAGCTTGCAGTGGGGCCCTTGGGCTGAGATTGGTGCCTCGGCGGACTGTGAACAGTTGGAACCAGGAACATGTTGTAGGAATATGTATGAGGGATTATGAGGGGTTCCTAAGTCATGGGCGTAGCCCCAAATCATCCAGTCGTCATGGATAACAATGACATAGTGACATAGTTTAACGAAACCCATGGTGACTTGGGGTACCCCCATAGGAATATATCTGGATATTCCAACGACACTGCCACCCATATATGTGGAAATCTGCGAGAAACATACGTAAAAGTAATCTGGAAACGCTATGAATCAAATATGACAAAACATGGAAACAAAAATTCAATATATGGAATTCGGAATGTGGGGTGATGATTCAGATTGACAAGCATATATATATATATATATTTGGATATGGGGTGGAACCACCGACCAGACTGTACATGGCTGACATCCCATCGTAATCATGGTCTGTTCTTGAATCGTTGCATGTCTGCCGTTTCAAGAGTAGAACTGCAGTTGTTGGGCAAGCAAGTCAAGGAAAACAGACACACACACAACATTTCATCACATTTCCATATAGTATTTGTTGACCTTCACAGGTACAATACTGTACTTTGCAAAGGTGTGTGCTATACAGTGTCCAAGTTTCTCATGATTTCTACATGTTTCATGATTTCCGTATAGCATCATATAGCCATTTCCGGTTTGTTCGCGTGTTTTTCTCCAAGTGTTATACTGTAAGTGTCGCTCCATCCATTTGAGCAAATTATCACGACCTGGGACATCATCATAGATCATGTTTAGCAGGGTTAATTATACCAGACATGAATAAGCTGCTATAATTTGGTTGGTATAGGTTGGTATGATTCTGGTACAATATGTATATAATCCTTAGGATGAAGGACATCGCGATAATAATAATGATAATGATAATAATACTGTATATATAATAATAATCATCATCACCACCATCGCCATCACCATCACCATCATCATTATCATCCTCATCATCATGATCGTGATCATGATCATGATCACCACCATCCGGTGATATTTTCGTTCCACAGTTCCACTTCAAAACAATCGCCATTTCCTCCACCAGGCATGGCCGCTCGGAGCGGTGTGGGTGGTCCTGGTTTCTGGGCGCCGAAGATTTGCCCTGCAGATGCCTTGCAGGTGGGGAGCCTGCTTCACATGACACGCCTGCGCTGAAGTTAGAGCACTCGGCGATTGGGCTGACTGGCTGAGTACAGAAAAAGGATGAAAAAGGCATCGTTGTATGGGTTCCATCAAAAACTTCTATGATCTTTTTTGGTGCAGTGTGCAGCCCATTCGGGTAAAAATGAGAGGCTCTGGGATCCGTTCTGGCGGCTTCCTCCAAAACCAGTGAAGTTCCCAGATGGAGAGTGGGATTCGTCAGTTCTGGTATCATCGAAGCCCAGGGCCCCATCCAATCCACTAGGGCCCCATGTTCAACTGGTGTAGAGGTCATGGTTGATGTTTGGGAAGATACGAGAGTACGAGATCTAAATTAGCATGGTTTTGCCGATGACTTGTGCCAGTGCAGTGACCCTAAGCCGAGGTCCTTCCGTGATGAGCATTACACATGTCAACTGGTGAATGGCCTCAGCTGCAATCTATAGTATCTATAGCTGACGTGTGTTGTTGTGCTAGGTTTGTAAAGGTTGAGTCGTCTAGATTATTGTTTCAGGATTCGCAGTAGATGTTGGTTGATCTTATATGATCTTAAAATATCTGATATTTTTTGACCAGCTCTGGACTCATTCCATTAGATATGTGCTGATTCTTGTTGTTTGACATTGTTTTCTGCACTGTCTTTCCTCCTCCATGTCTGCCTCCATTGTTTCATGTTCCCCAACTGTTGGCAATTTCATGCACGCTTCGGCTCTATGGCCCTTATGGCATGTTTAGGCATTTGTTGATTTGTAGTTGACTTCATATGTCTATATATATAATTATATTATATGTGTATTGTATGATATTAATTATATATAATTAGATATTATATATATATTATAATATCATAGGTTGTTTTACGATTCTGGCCATGCTGTTGCATAATGTTGCGTTTGTCCATGTTTTGACAAAAGGAACATATTTGGACACCATCTACCTCGAAAGCCCCACATATTGAACAACATGGAGGCATAACAAGCCGTGGATCTCCGTCAGGTCCGTCTTGCTCAAGAGGATGCCATCCATGCCGCCCAGTTGGTCGAACTTCAAGAGCCATTGGGAAGCTCCAGGCCTGGCTCAGTTCGTTCCAGCCCGGGCCAGGTTTGAAGATACTGAAGCTGAAAGAAATTCCGATGTTCTTTGTTTATACCATGTTTATACATGTTTATACCATGTTTGTACCCTCAAGACCTGATTAGACCTGTAGAAAGCTCATGAAAGCTCCAATTTCTCTCCGATTTCAACCCCTGGCCACATGCGCTGCCAGTCGTGCCACAAGAGCCCGACAGAGAGCTGCCAACTTAGACGATGTGCACAGGGATGTTTTTGCTAGCGGGGGGAAACCGGACAAGATTTTCATCGCTTTTGCTTGTGGGGATGGGGGTTGGGTGGGCTATTAACGTTCATGTTCATATGCACACTATCTTCATGCTACGTTACCAAGATCTTCTCTTGCACTTGCCAACTATCTTCATGCTACGTTAACAAGATCTTCTCTTGCACTTGCTAAGTATATTCATGCTACGTTAACACATCTTATCTTGCATTTGCTAACTATATTCAGGCTACGTTAACAATATATTCTGTAGCACTTGCTAACTATCTTCATGCTACGTTCACAACATCCCCTCTTGCACTTACTAACTATCTTCATACTTGCAAGAAATGCCGCCCAAATATGTGAAGCCCACATCATCGCTATCACCCTCCGGTCTCCAAGCCAAATACAAAATATGGTTCAACCAAGCTGTAACAACTCCATACCAACAAGTCCGATCCAATAAAAATGCAATCTGCAACGGCTTGTCCATGAACCTACTCAACAAAATTATGTATTCGTGAGATCTCTTCTCGCCAGGTGACAGCAGCGATCTACGAGACAGCGTGCAAAAACCTAAGGCAAAATCAAAGAATGCTGTGAAACTTATCACATATCTGTTGCATCGTCCCCATGAAGATTGGTTGGAATTCCAGCCAACTCAAACAAAGACACTGTACGTATTCAAAGGCAGGCAAATAAACTATACCATCTGTCCAAACCTGTGGGATCAACTTCATTTACTGAAGCCACTGGCCTTCCAAGGTCTCATTATCAAGGAAATGCCCGGTAAGAATGGCATGTACGACACAGAATAATGTTTTCATGGACGCCATTCAGGGACCACTTTCTGAAAGGGCCCATGGGCAAGGCCATAGAAATGCCTCTTAAAATGCGCCACTGAACGGATACGATCGTAGATATCGTAGATCGGATGATATCGGATGTATGGACATGATATGAAAAGTTGATAAAGGTTGCAAGAAGCAACCAAGGCAACCAATGCAAAGCACCACTGAAGGCACAATGTAGAAATGATGTAGGAGATGAATTCACTGACAAAGCTCACTACGCTGTCGCGCTTGTGAGCACCGCAGATTGATACGGAGATTGGGCAAGTGCATGATGCTTCACAAAGATATGGATCATTGTTTTTCTATCGCGAGCACGCCCTCCACCCCTGAATAACAAACAAACAAACTAAACTAAACAACAACAAAACAAATCATCAAATCCGCAAAACGATCGCGAAGATTGCCACGGCACCACGCTACAAGTTTTCCAGCGCACTCCCTTCGTCAGGCAGCCACCTTCTGTGTTAGTATCTCTATCTATTGCGTTTCGCCCACTAACTGCTACGCTACAGAGATAATATACAAGGTGTAGGGCCAACAGGATTCCTGCCAGGGCTATGCTTGAGGTATAGTGCTGTCGGCACGGCAATTCGAACTACGTAGTAAAGAGCAAACTGAAACATGAATTTCACATACATCCAGAGTAGACACAGGGGCTTGAAATGACCCCTTGTATCAAATTCACGCAGTATGATATCCCTAGGATTTTGATTCTCACAAAATTATGCACAGTTTATATTGGATTCGCAGCAACAATCAATCCATTCTTGTTGGATTTTGTGATTCTGGCCAAGGGAAGATCGGAAGAGCCGATTTGCAGTGAGTGGAGGATCTGCAAAAATGAGGTATGTATCTTAACAAACAAAAACGGGGTAGTTGTACTAAACAACCAGGGGCAAAAGCAATCAAACTGGCTCAACTTGGGCGAACTACAAGGAAATGGCCGACATCATTCAACGATGGGTTGTGTATGAGGAACGACGGAAAAACAGTCCTACAACTGCAGTATAGTTGACCCATTCTCTGCTTGGTGGTTTTTAGATAATATGTTCTTGTACAATCAATCCTAATTCTTTGAGGTTTATGATCCCACTTGACAAACATGTTTTGGATGAGTTGCTCATGAGTTGCTCAAACACCAAGCGGTCCAGCACTTTGGGATATGGTAGGAGACCCCTCAAGGGCACTTCGACCTGGCATTGGAATGGTTGGCATGGGCGGCATGCCCTTGAGTCTTGGACTCAACATGTCCTTTGGCCAGGACCCCAGCTCTTCATTTATGCAGTAGGGCAAATTTCAACCATTTGCATTGTCAACATATGTATGTTTGTCTGCACACCGAATGTTTGTTGATGTCACTGATAGGAAAAAGAAAAGTTGACATAATTTGATGGGGCATTGAAAGCCAAAATATGGGCACACCTTAATTACTAGTGTGTAAACATCAACTAATTGCCTTTAAAAAAGGCTGTAAATCCACACATTTGTCCCATCCCTACACATTCCCAAGGCATCCAGAAGATTGTTGTCCTAATGTTGTAAACCTAGGACCAAACAATATGTGTTGGCTATGGTTTAGAAATCCCCCAACTGGTTAAAGATTCACAGCGATTCGGACTAGTCATTGGGTTCACTACATTTATAGGTTATATATACCACATATCATACCATTTATAGGTTATATATACCATTTATAGGTTATATATACCACTACATTTATAGTTATGGGAAGTCTTCTGAATTGGTATCTCCAATCATCTTACGGGCAGTTGTTGTTTCCCCATACTCTGTAACTTAAATCGGAAAACATTAGATGTATGACTACACAATACAGACGTGATCTACAAGTGGGTGTCTGAAAATGGGATACTGTCAAATCCAATGGTTTAATCATGAGTTTCCATATTATTGCTATTATTGATGATTTTCTTGTTGGTATATTTTCCTTTTTATACATACCTTATCTAATTTCAAGAGCCATCTCAAGGATTATATGTTCCATCTCAGGCATTACTCTTGAAATTAGATAATACATACCATTAAAATACCATTATATACCATTTATATACCACTTATAGTTATTTGTTCCATTTATATACCATTATATACCCATTCACCGCTACGGTCATTTTCCACGCCAAGGCCGGGAGATGCCAAGCAGGGAAGGCCCGAAAGGCCAGAAAGGCGAGAAGATAACCACCGACGTCGACGGATTTGTTCTTTCGGAGTCGAACATGGTCCATTTACCCTCTGGTAAACTAACATACAGAAAGCTATTGAACATGGCCATTTATAGTGGGTTTTCCCATTAAAAATGGTGATTTTCCATAGTTTTTTTGTATGTTTACCAGAGGGTATGTCCATTCTATGGTCCAAAATGCTAGGGAGATATGTTTCAATTTTCAATTCTGTGTTTTGTATTTTTGTTGATTCGCAAATTTTCATAGAAACAGATTGAGTGCTGTTTTTTTCAGGCGTTGAGCACTGAACATTTGGATGGTGAAGGTCTGAGAAATTGCTAAGCCGTAAGCATTGGGATATTCAGTATTCACCAGGTCCAGGTCTCATCGCTAAATGGACGGCACTGTCACTAGGATATCCATGCGTCTACAATCCCCGTATATTCCGGTAGAAAGTAGAACAACCGATGCCTTCTGTGCTGGTCCAATTTTCTAGACGGCCAAAATCACCGGGTTTTACCAAAAAATCGCAAAGGCATGATGGTTGGTACAGATATGGTACAAGGTGGTGCCCCCCCAGTTACAAGTTGGTTATAAAGCCATTACCTATAGTTACAAGTGTCACAAACCATAGTTCTTAGAGTTATAAACCAACTTAGCTAACTATGGGGCACCACCTTGTAGGTGTTAATTGCGGCTGGTTGCAGACTTGGAATTTGATCACAACTTGCCCAGATGCTGCTGCTGCATGCCGATTGATCAGCCATCTTTTGCTGACGTCTGGCTGTGTCTGGAAATGGAGTATACCTCCAATTTCCTCTAATTATAATCAATTATAGCAATATATATATATATGATATATATATATGATATATATATATATAATTATATATATATACAGGGAAACTGATGATAGACGCTTGGATTTTGGGATACACGATTTTCAGACAAACCCCAACGTTCCAACTTTGCATCAGGCAAAGATGCCGCATCAAGTGAGTCTCCCTGCGAGTCCTCAGATGAGCCACCAGCGGCAAAGGGACTGTGAGAGCCGGTGAGAGCCGACCGGAACAAGGCCACAGAGAAGTTCCATCGATCAACATGTACCACAGGTGAGGCACGAAATGCTATGATGTGGGTGGACACAGCATAGTTTAGATTGAACCCCTACCTCAAATGCATGATGCTAGTAGTTGGGTTTGTAAACCGCCTTTGAGATCTTTTGAGAGATTTTGAGAGCATGAAGTCATGTTCCACAAGACCACCAAAAGAAAACACAGAACGCCAGATCGATAGCTCTAAGACTCTGTGCCAAGTGAAGCAAAAAGACATGCCTCTTCTTGGGAATTGATTTGCTCCAATGTACAGTACAAATTTAGTCATTTTGTTTACCCCAAATTTACCCGCAGAAGCCTTTGCTATATCTACAGTATTTAATAAGCTAACCACATTGCTACGCCACGCTTCCCCATGTGTCCATGACACGGGTTGCTTTCAACAAGTGCAGACTTTGTCCAATCAATTGCAGGGCACACATGCGTTCATAAGGCAGACTCGTTCACTTGAATTTGGAGGTACCAGGACTTTACAATCGACTTTCATGAGAAATGGTGCCTCAGATTTTGCTCAGACCAGAGACTCAAAAGTCGCAGAGTACTGAGTAAAACTCTTAAGGGTCGAACTCTTGACTCTCATGGTCCAGAGCTGAGACTTCTGCATATCCGCTTGGTGCAGATCTGGTGGTTTCTGGTGATTTGAAAATTATTATATATATAATTATATACGTATATATAATACATATGACTATATACTATATAATATATGCAATCTGCATCTGCATCAATCCAATGGATTGAAAGATCAATCTCCAAGTGACCCCGAAAAGCAATGGCAACTGACCCCTGAGGCGCAAACAGCACTGCAGGCGATGAAACAACAACGAAGGCAGATTGCAAGAGAGGCGCCTTGCACACTTTACGTGGTGATACAGATGCCTGGTTGCGACTGGGCTGAGTTAGTTTGGAAGCGTTAAGCATCATGTTATAGTACAGTTGCGGAGAGTTGCGGGATTTTCTACATGTGGTTGTGGTTGTTGTGGTTATTACGATGACCTCTTCAGTCTTGGGGTGTTTGACTTGGTGTTCCTTGACCTGATAGCCAGATATGGTTAGCGAGTAGGGGATGAAGGCATTATATAGACACATTGGTCATTTAAGACAGGGTTACTTGATTTTGGATGTGCATCCAAGTGAGTAAGTGCATGGTTTACAAATGGTTCAAGACAAATATAAACCATATTTCACAGGTGATATTCCAATGTATTCCATGAATAGCTGGGTTTGAATATGTGTTTTATTATATAATTTTATTAATGTGTGTTCATATGTTATTATATTTTATTATACACTTATATAAGATTTCCCCATGCAGCGCGGCCCCGCAGGCTCGTCGGATTAGGGCCACCAAGCTGTTTGCAGAGCAGCAGAGGTCGTTTGTCGCTGGATTAGTTGAAGGGAAACCTACAGGAAACCATGGTTTTCTGGTAACTTCTTACATATAGCTATGGAATGCTATGGAAGCCATGGCCCAAAGTTCGATGATTGACCAGAACAGGTGAGTTTCCATGGCTATGTAACGAATTATCCGAGGGTAATCTAAGGTAAGTTCAAAGGAAGATCAATAGTTGATCGTTTAGAAATAACATGAAATAACATGCTTGATTCCTCCTTTCCTGTGTTGTTTCGCGACGCTAAGAAACAAAGCCAGTAAAACATTAGAGTTTTCAGGGACAGAATGTGATCTCACCAGCACATCCAAATTAAGTACATGTCTCGATTGTTTAATCACACATAATGGAAACTCTATAGTACTGACGCTTTCATATTTGTTGATCATCCAATAAAGTATGGGAATAGGTTTATTATTGGGCATATTGGGCGGCGTGGTATTTTGTGATCAATCATTGCCCAAAGGGGGCAGCCAAACGCATCCCAAAATTGTCTACAGTTTGTATTGCTGATGCGCCCACACAGATACTAGGTTACTAGGCTATCTCTAAGAGTCCTGGACACAACAGTTGAAACTGGGGTTGATACTCGGCTCGTCTCACCCGTCCTTACGCCTCACGCTCCGTTCCGCGGTTCGCTCCTCACGTCACTCCCCTGTCACTACGCGGCAGGGGGAACCTAGGGGGCTCGCCGGCTTCGCCGGTTCCCCCCACCCTGCAGGGCGTAAGGAGAGAGGAACAGACGTGAAGGAACGGTGAATGTGGGGTGGCAAGGAACGGCCAACACACGGACCGAGCGGATGGACGAACGACCCCAATCCAAGGATGGTCACACGTTCATAGGTGAACCATGGAACATGAACCAGTCACTGGCTTGCGTTCGGGGAACATCTGTAGCAAACAATGAATTTAGCTGCCAAATCTGAGAATTTTCAGTGGTTTTGGGCTTCCAATAGATCCCAGAAGTTGATGATAAATTATAGGACATTTTGCAGGAAAACCCTACATTAAAGAGAAGAATCCATTGGTTTCTGTTGATCTCCCCTAAAAATGTCCATTTTCACCAAGTCCTTTGCTCACATGAGGCCATGGTGGGTTCCTCTGCGGCCGGGCCTCTCGGAGTGTGCCAGAAAACATGGCTACTCAGACTTTGCCTGACGCTCCAAGCACCCAGGAAAATGATGCAACATGGGGGTTCATTCATATCCTTGTTTTTTCTTGGGACTTATGCGGTTTTACACGTACTTGGAGGGTCTAAGGATACACTACCTATGAGCCTCAATCAGAACTCAAAGAATGATGAACATGGTTCTTTGATATCCCAAAGATTTTCGGATTTTTCCTAATGTTTATCGGTACTTCAAGGGTATTGACATGATTGACATGCATCTACTCAAAGAAATTGAGACCGGCAGGAGTTTGCATTCTTCATGAAAATGTTGGAAAATTCTTAAATCACAGGTTTTGCCGGTAAATCTACACATTTTATCACATTTTCAGGTTACCAAGATGACATACCCACATCATATGGTGCTCAGGCCACCTGCCGAACTCGAAGCCAGACAGGTGCAGAGCAGAATGGTGCCATTAGAATTATATACATGTGTTGAACATGCCGCATGTTCAAATCCATGGGCGGGAAGATATTATTTGATTGTCACATCCAGTTATATTACCAGCATTTAACTGGAACCTGGACTGGATCGGCAGCAATGATTCGGAACTGGGTTGAATCACTGGGACGTAAAGTGATGGAGTGATGGTTAGTACAAGTAAGAGGTAGCTATCCCAAAATAGTATAAAATAGTGACACCATTTCAGCTCATATCAGTACTATATGTGGTTTTGTCATCCTCAGATGTCGGGACGACTTATAGAAACCACAGATTTTTCTTGTGATGTTGTTCGTGATGCGTCAAATGTAGATATTGTCGTTCTTAGCAACCCTGGTTGTGTTCCTGGAGAATGTATGAATTTACGGTCCACTCAGCGGTGAAATTTGAGAGGTTTCCAACGTGGACTGCCACCGCGTCTTGGGGGCTCCTAGGGGGGCATCCACCGATCAACTTAAGGTGGGCCGCCAGAACGCTCATGACACAGGGTAAATTGAGGATTTAGCCCAGCCAAATTTAGGATTTCACATGATTCAAGGATATGATATGATATATATATATATGTGTATATATATACACTGTGTATATATATATTATATTATATATAAAACCAGACATATGATCTTTGGATGTATTTGAACATGGAGGATCTACCATTTAAATTTAAGTAAATTTTAAGCCAAGTTGGCCTTTTCATAGGATGTGTAGCCAGCAATAAGATGATGGATGTGGTACCCAGAAATTTGATGTTTGAACATGAAGAATGACACTGAATACCCATAGGATCCATGTATGCCATATATGGTAACATTTGCCATTAATATACCCCCAATGTTAGCATATATACCATACATGGATCCTATGGGATATGGTAAATTCTGCATTTGAATCCGTAACTCTTCACTTTGGAAATATCACCTGGATTCGACCGGAAATATCTTTCAGAAATGCTGAGACTGGCTGAGTTTTGCTGGACACTTCAGGAATCCCTCAAGATTGAACAGTTGTTCTTCCGCTCCGATAAGAATCCGTGACAGAACATGTTGTAAAACACGTCATTTCCCCATTTCATCCCACTGAAAATGCCTATTGCGAGGTCAATTGGTAAATGATTCCGTCATTTTGAATGGATGATCAACTATCATGATAATGGATGATTATCATTCATTATCATTTATCATCATTATCATCCATTATTATCTTCCATTATCCAATCCAACCTATAGATAGGAAACACAAACAAAAAGAAAACCCCATGAGTATGGGAAGCTTATGGGAATAGAGCTACGAATTAGCCAGGGAGTCGCCAAAAAAAAAAAACGATCCGTGGATTATGAACCAACGATTTTCCAAAGATTTGTTCGTTCGCAGGAAGCATTTTTGGCACGGGCGAAAGAGCACAATGCCAGCGACCTTGATGGTGAGCGCGGACCGTAGATGGTTGGGGAGGCAGATGGGAAGAATTTGTTGAAGATCTCAATTTACCCATCCCGTACCTAGATCCTTCAAATATCTCCAAGAAATGGTAAAACAAAAACTAGAAACATCGGGTAAAAGGGTAAAACACATGATTTTTAAGGGTACTTGGAGGGTCTGTGATGAGGATTTAATGAACAAACATGTTGGATACGATGGGACAATCTTTCTGTCTTAATCCCCGAACTAAATGGAACTTTTTCACTGTGAAAGAAGATACTAAATGATACTAAATGGGGAATGACAGGATAGTTCTGGGCACAATTCCATCCCACGTTCTTCATTTAACACCCCATAAATGGACATAAATGGACCCAACATGACCCACATATATGTGATGTCACCCCCTAAACCATGGTTTCGGGGGGTGTTTAATATGAACGGGGCTTGGCAATACTCATGACAAGACCATCTGCAAATGAGGTTATCGTATGGTTTCGCATGCTGAAACATGAGGGTAACCAATCGGTCCGTTGAGAAGCCCAATCTTCACAGCTAAGGAGCAACTTTGTGGTCGCGCGCATGTGCTACGAGTACTTAGTTGCAGCCTTGATTTTGGGAGGTGTTGCCTGACAACGACGATGGAATTGGGAATGGAAACAACAAACTCCGTGCTCGAATTTTTCAAAGCAACTGAACTATTTCACAGACGTTACACATGACCCCAACTGTTTGGTTGGTTTTCAATCCCCGTGGCAATTTCCACACTAGAAATGGATAATTTGTGCATAGTCTAAGCGAGATCCGTAATGTATTGGAATTTCAAAATTGGAGTCAGGTTAGTCATTTTATTGTTAAGGGGTTGGTCTGAGTATTTTATTGGCCAGGGAAATCCTGATGATTTTTAATATGTTAAAATTCCATTCTAATTTTATTGCCAAACATTGAGTGTTTGGAGCATTTTATTGCAGAATGGAACCAGTGCTTTTCCAGGATCTCTTTATATCGATTTTATTGGGCATGTCATTTTAGATCAGCGAGAGACCTCTCTTGGCACTGCAGCCCTTTATACGAACTGCTGACTTGGAATTGCTGACGAACTTGGATTGCTACGAACTGCTGACTTGGAATGTGGCCATGCTACATAAGGTACATGAGAATGCCACCGTATTTTGTTGCTATAGAATGCTATAAAAGAAGAAAAACACTAATAAATATTTGGGCACCTTCACTCTAAAATACTTCTATCTAAAAAGAATGTCCTGACCCCTTTTTAAAGAGGCGTTTCTGAGGGTCTTCGAATTTGGATGAACTTGGATGCCAATTCGGCGTGAATTTGCTGGAAACGCATTTTATAGCAGAACCAGTTCTCATTATTTTTGTGCATTTTAAAGCCTCAGGCCCTATGCACAAAAGCTAGACCGCTCTAAAACTGCTGCACATTATCGCATACCAAAAAAATGGCACCCCAAGTTTTCAATTGTTCCATGGTTTTTCGCCAATTCTACCTGGGATTCTGAGCATGATCCCAACTTTCATTTTGCCTGGCTCCGCACGCATAGCCTTCCAAGGCATCGCCTCATAAAGCCGAGGAAAGCCTTCAGAGCCCCCTCGCAACGGCCTGGTGATGTGGGAGTTTGGTGATTCAAATCACTGGGCCAAGCGGTAGCATGGTACGAAATCACACTTTGTTTTTGAAAATCCATGAATATCCAAAGTTGATGCCATGAGTGAGAAAGCTCTGGAAGAACATCAAACATTCAGGATTTAGGTATTTGAATATCATATAAAATAGATAAATAGCAATTGTACTAAATTATTTATAATATATATATATATAATATCGTTCTGCTACATATTGTACTGTATATCATAGGTACCAAGACCATCAAATATCCTAAAGTGCAAATTAAATGATATGGTGTACTGTAATTAAAAAAATATAACTTTATATAAGAATGTATACCAATATATACCCATACCATAGTGCCATATAGTGTCATATAGTGCCATAACAAAACAATAGAATACCAATTAGCTGGCCATAAATTGGTATCCGATTGCCTTCTGCAGGTCTCGGAAACCATCGATGTCCCGGCTGAGTTGCAACGGCAGAACCATGCTTCGTGCGCTCCTCAGAGCAGCTTGAAAAATGGACAGATACCGATTGACCCTCCATGTGTACCCTGAAAAATGGATAAAAATGGTGGAATCTACCCCATAGATACCACATTGTTTTCTTATTGCTTAAAGGATTTTTACGACTAGGTACCTACCGTTTGACCCTCCAAGCACCTAGACAAATCGGGACTGGCTGTATGATTTCGATTGATTTTCTTGGGTACCTGCAGGGTCTATGTTGGTTGGGGGAATAGTAACAAATGTTTGTAATGAGTTAAGGGAATATATAGCACCTAAAAAAAACAATGGTTTGTATGGGCACAAATGTCGCCTGAGATTAGTGATCAACCGTTCCAAAAAGTGATATCTAGATGAATTAAATCGACCTCGCTGCGACGTTGCTGGAATGATGGGAATTAAGTGTTAAGGGGTAACTATCCCAAAATAGCTTTGTATCAGGGTAGTGAAATATTATAGTTTAGCGAGATACTTGCAGGGAAGAGAAGAAAAGCCGGATGAGCGATGTGTGTGTGTGATGGAAAATCTCCAGAATGATCCATCAGCTGAGTAAATCGCTGGTGAATGTCCCTCACGCGGGCGGGATATCATGGGTTCTACCGCAGTAACATGCAGTTTACTACTACTAGTCACTTGAGAGATTGTCCCAGTGTGGTGACCCAACACGGAGTGTCAAAAGACTCAATAAAATGGCTCTGTTTCAAAGCCTGTTTGGATGTGAGCCATGGCCGAATCTGACTGAAAAGAGAGGAAAGCAATGTGTTTACTAACAGACAAGAAATCAACTTGACGCGCAACGTTCACAAACCAGTCCTGGAATATATAGCTGACAACAACAGTATATGAAAAATCATGGACCATATTTCAAAACTGGAACAAACTTGGTTTGGTTTGGTCTGTTTTCTGGCTATTTTGTCATACCTTGGCCCTCCAAATACCCCAGCAAGATGGCAAAAGGTACTAAAATAACTATAAGGTAAAACGCCGTTTTTGTGGCTACTTGGAGGTCTATCTATCTATCCATCTATCTGTCTATCTATTTGTTTATCTATTTCTCTATCTATCTATCTATCTAGCTGTCTATCTATCTATCTATCTATCTATTTATCTATCTATCCATCTATCTATCTATCTATCTAGCTATCTATCTATCTATCTATCTATCTATACATAAACCAGTTATTTTTTGCAGGTTATCTGAGTCTGGCCATGAGTGATTGGGCAAGGCACTTCTCACTTTCCATTAGATAATGGCGACCTTAGGCTGAACTAATGGACCCCGGGAATTCTAATTGAAGTGTTGCCATGTGTTGCCATTTTAGTTGCAATTCGGCACTCTTGGCTTGTAGTCGCCCTATATAATCAATCAACCACGTGTTCGTGATCCAGAGTTGACATTATTTGTCCAGTTCACTATAGGAAATAGGGTACAGTAGACCAAACTCCCATGGTAGATCTTTGTTTTCCTACGAAAAGTCTGAGACAAACCCTGTGGTTTTTCGCCATTTTCGACGACACTTTTCGCCAGGTTCCAGCAGACTTCCAGATTCTTTAGCACCTTCATGTTCAAGGCATTGGATGAAAAAATTGGATCACAAGTTGAGTGTGTTCCATGACAGATACGACACGGTGGTAGGTGAAATCCCAATGGGCGGTACCAGAAATCGATCCCAATGGATCTGGGATCTCAACGGGGCCACCAAACGGCTGATGTTTTTAAAGCCAGAAACATCAGCCAGATCACCATGATCACCAAAAGTTGGGCGAAATGCTGTCCACTTCGAGTTTGAATTCCCAGGTTTTGTGTTGCGATTCCTATGACTTGCGAGTTAATTTCCTATTTTCCTATCTTATCCGCCTTGCCTAAACTCTTGAACATGCTCATATGTTGGATTGTGTTTGTTAAATCAACATTTATTCTAAGCTGCATGATCATTTGCCAAAAATAGTTGACACAAGTTGTGTACCAGTGGTTGATAATTTGTGTGGATTTAGTGGTCGTTCCTCTTTGTTATTAGGCGGTACGAACCCAGCTCTAGCAAACTCGATATGTTTGCGCTAGATATGTTTCACTGTTTCAAATCCATGTTCAAAGATTTTTTTTAATGTGTTGTGTTCCTGACTGCTTGTTATTTCAACATGAAGAAAAGTTAAGTTGTAACTTAGCTCCTTAAACCTCAAGATGTTTGAGTGAATTTCTGTGCTACTCAACCATTTTGCTGAATATGAACAATCCTCCAGTTCCACGACTAATAACTGGCAGCGGCACCCACTCCATATAGACGTGTGTTAGCATTTCCTGCTGGGTTTAGATACATATTCAAACATGAAAGATAAAATGCATGGTTTCGGACTATTTAGATTTAGATAAGTCATAGTTTTGAAGACCAAACAAGAAGCAGCACGCATGGAATTACGATTTATCAACCAAACCATAAAACCAGAAGAAAACATCTTGAGAAACCGTATATATATATATATACATTATACATGCAGGGGGATAGACCGGGAGCGGCAATGACCAGAATTTGCATGCAACGTGCCGCAGCGACTGCTCGCTTCTGTGTGCACCCAGCAAAAAATACATTATACAGGCATAATTACATACGCCTGTCTATTTTGATATTATAATGCAACTAAGTTCTTTGTTGATTTGTTTCTATGGTCTTCCCCATTGAAACCAGGTGGCATCGCCAAACCACGCGGAGCGTCTCTCCAAGTGCCCTACCGTCATGTTGTCATTCAGCTGCAAGGAATCTCCATTGAATTGTTTGACGAAGCAACCTTCCCATAAATAGGGTTCACCATGTATATTATACATACAGTACTACATTACCAAACAGGAATTCCGGCTGAATGGGAGGTGAATCAAAGGCTAAAAACATGATTTTCCATTTATCGGCATACTGTACCATGGGATGCCTCTGTGGACCGCATTTGTTGAATACTCTAAAATGAATCTGAAACCATCTATTTCTTGCAGGCATTGATCATTTCGACTTATACACTCAAATGTTCAAGAACTGTGAACCAGCCGCTTTAGAAGGTCATCAAAGTTGAATCAATCCCAAACCCAGTTTACCACCCCTGCGTCACTGAAGTTGACTCAGGTCAATGGCATGAGCACGGACACTCTTCGTAGCTGCTAGCGACCGGATCCTTTTTGATATGAAGAGGTGGATAAATATGATTAATGTTCGTGTGAGATAACTTAAATCTTGTTTTGATGCTAGATTTCCTTCTTTTGATCTCCTTCAAATTTCTTGGCGTAGTTCCTTTTAAGTAGCTTATTCGAGCGCAGTGCTATGGATAGTTTAGTCAAGCACATGGATGGGTATTCCTTCTCTTTTGCCATGGACCAAATGATCTCTCGCTGTCTCCCCTTTTCGCAGAAGGCGTCTGGGGAGCCAAAGCGACTTTGTTGTTTTCCAACATAGCTGGAGTCTGAAGCAAAGCACAGACCATGAACTCATTGCCTTGGCCAGACATGCCTAGCTGCGAGGACCAATGATCGGTGGAGTAGTTAAAGAAACAGGGTGTTGACCTTGTGGATGGGTGTTTCTCATGTCCATGCCTGAATATCCATGAATTTCCAACATGTGCTTAGGGATTTGGTTGGTACACTATACATACGTAGTTGTTTTATGCTGTTTTCCTTTGTCCGAAGTTGGTTTTTGAGCGGCATGTGAAATGGACTCTTTTGCGATTTGCACCAATTCAACTGCGCAGACTTTTCGGACACGTTTCAAAGCGCGTCCTACTCGAGGGAAAGTTCTTGCCAGATTTCGACGACGAGGTGAGCTGTGTTGATCCAAACTTTAACCAGAGAATCGTAGTTATATTGGACTCGCACAAGATCAAGCATACCAGAGAAGCCTACAAGATATATATCCTACTTATTCCAAGTTTCAGGGAACGCAGCTCACTAATAGCTAGCGTGACTGGCTTCCGGTCACTTCCGTATAGTCTCCGGCCACTATTTTCCCTGCAGAATTCTGTGCGCCTGTGCCAACTCAAAGTCAGCCGCCACAGAATGCCTCCAGAAGGTTTCACTGAAAGATGCTTGACCAACTTTGGGCCTCCGCAAAAAGATCTTTATGATGTCACGATGTCCTGACCTTTTAATCACACACGGCTGGAAAAGGCTGGAAAATCCAACATTTATATACTTCTCTCGATGATTTTCCCAATCGAATGCCAGTTTATAGATGATTTCTCATTGGATTTATCCAGGGTATTTTCACCAGCCTTACCCCTGGTTTCGTTTGTTTGTTTTTCGGAAAACACCGAGCCCCAAAAGAGCTTGATTTTGGTGCCATCATTTGCCTGGAGGTCCAAATCGTGTCTAGGAATCTATTTTGCACCGCGCCAAAAGCTGCGGGCAGAGAAACAGTTGGAGAGTCTGATGAGGTCATCGTCGGGTCACCAGCGCAGACCGAGATGTGTCTCGGAATGTCCTGAAATTTGTTCCCTGTAACGAACACGGCAAGATCTTATAGATTCAGTTCTACGTGTGAGTACCCAGATGTGGGTATGGCTTAATTGAGTTGCCTTCAACTTGTGTTCTTTAAACTGTCCATTCTGAAGCCATACCCAAAAAACCGCTTCATCAGATGCTCCTCCTACTCCACGGGTTCAGAATAGAGTGCCCGTTTTTCCCGAGGCAGGGCACTACCAGCCCGATACCCTGCTTTGAAGGAAGCGTGTAAAGGTTTCTGACAGACTCCAGTCTCTGTTTTCGTAAAGTTGTCTTGGTAAAGTCGGTCTGCCGTTGAACACAAAAGCCAGATCTTTTGGTGATTCAGATGTGTTCTTGACAGAATTGCGAAGGGCATGCTTGAAATGAACTATTCCTAGACCTCCCAAGAAGTCTAAGATCAATTGGTATAGAAGACTACCAGGATTTGCCAGGAACAAAATTTGGATGACTTTTGGACCTGGGACATCCTGCGACTTTGTTTTGGCGGCAGATCCATACGCTTCGGCTTGCTTCGCTTGTTCTCTCGTCTTGGAGCGGGGAAAAAACGAACCGCACAGCGGTCCCTCGTTGTGGCCACCGACGTGTTCCCTGCTGTGGCCGCATGGACGACCGAAGGTGTCCCATGATTCGCGATGCGGCTACATGCACAACTGAGGCACCCACGGTGAAGAGATAGGTGGAACTCAGATTGCAGACTGAAGAAAACTCAGGCCGACAGCGTTGAAAAGTTGGAGGACACCAGGTGCAATCACTTTCAGAAGGGTTAATAGAATGGGAGTGATGATATGCCGGGCATCAGAGCAGCTGACGTGTTTCAAGATGACGTCACCTGTCTTGCTGCGACTTGCAGAGGTTGGTAAAAATGCTCATTTAGATTTCTTTTCGGGATTTCAAACATCACCATTGGATGGTTATGGATATCCAATGGCTGCTTGTTGGACTTTGGCTCAGGTGTGCTTCCACTACAAGCCCACCCGTGGCTTGAGTCATCTCACGCCCCAAAAATATCAGCCAAATCTCTCCAACCACACCTGAAGTACATCCCCCAAAATCGATGCTTGGCCTATGCCGGGATGTTCTTTTGCCAGAATCTGTGGGGACATTAAACAGCCAGCGATGCTCACGCGAAGCCTGGCTGAAAGTCTGATCCCCTCCAAGGCAGGGGCCGAGTGGTCAAGTCTTTGCAACAGGACCTAGACGACCTAGACCCTCCGGGACTGTACCCATACACCAATCCTTTTACCCTCCAAACTAACATAACTGGAAAATCACCGTCAATTTTTAAATCAACTATATATTTCTATGGTCATGTTCAACAGCAAACTGCTAGTTTACAATAGTTTTAGGACTTTTCCATATACTTTTACATATGTTTTGTTGGTGCACGCGGTGCCGCCTGAAGGTCGCCTTAGCTCCTCATGTCGTGGCAAGCCCAGAGACACTTTCAGGAGTTGGTCCCTGAAGTTTTGGTGATCTGGTCCTATGTATGCTCCATGTATCTGGGTAAATTCTAAGGACCTCACTGCGACCGAGCCCTGGGAATCATGGTTAATAAGGGGAATCATCCCCACATGGCCCAACAATTCAGGTTAGTGAAATATTAAAATTTTCCCAGATGTATGGAATATTTACCCTCTGGTAAACGAACATAGCTATTGAAAATTGCCGTAGAAATAGTTGATTCCATTAAAAGTGCTGGATCTTTCCATAGTTATGTAAACGTTTACCAGAGGGTGCCTACATTTGAATCTTGATGCTAGATGACTTCCATACACGGAGCATATTGGTATGATTGGATTCTTGTGATTTAACATGGCTACGGAAAACACATTTTATACTATTATAAATTTAATAATACGATCTTATATGTTGATAATGAACTTGCGATTGGGATATGTTTTGATATTATTAATTAGATTATATCATCTATACAACTATACTTGGAACCTCAATATAAACCCATGAACATAGATGCCAACACCAACATGTTGGTGTAAGTACAATGTTCATGGTTATTTAATGGTTAAATTAATCGTCAAGCTGTGTGTAGATAGTACAGTATACATGTGTCACAAATATTGTGGCACTTTGGCTTGCAGTTTTGCAACGTTGTTAACATTGTTGTGTGGAAATCTTCGCCAGCATAAATCACCTGATGTTGAACTGGTTTCAAGTACTTTGATATAGTTTGAAAAATGTTACAATGAAAATACCTCAAGAATCCTCAAGATATAAGCCGCTATAAGCGGCTAAACTTGCTGAAACCATAGAGAACCCCACTTCCACTGGGATGTAAGTGGATACTTGCGAACGGTAGGTCAATTGAGCCATTTTTGGAAGAAGATTTACAGGGGACTGAGTTTCCAAAACGTCCAATATACATAGATGAATGTCCGATCACTGGTTTTGCTTCTCAAACTCCTTCAAATTGTTCATCAAACACCCAAAATTTGAAGAAAACAACAACAGCTTTGCAGATTTGTTCATCAACAAAAGTAAAACTGGCACACCTTGAGAAACGAAACAGTTTGATTTTCATAATCCATTGCAATCCACCATTTTTCTTCGAAACAATCATCAATTAACCACCAATTTTGCCAGGTGGATTCCTTTTCTCTTCCCTATTGGTGGCTATTGGTCAAAATCGGGCAGCCGCAAGCATTGGATGGTTAGCTATATACTCTTTGGATCCCTTTGGTTCTTGGACATTGCTATGGAAAATTGCTCATGAGAATCGATGATTTTAATGATGATTTACCTGCTAAAGATTCTAAAGATGTTGATTTTCCATACTGTTAGCTATGTCATTATGTGAAATCACCAGAGGCCACATGTTACATGCCTTTGTGACTAGACTGATTGGTAACGAGATTCCCCATGGATCACGTGATCTTTCCCTATTGGTCAGTAGAACCGTTATCGTCCCCTGAACTCATCGTCCAACCATCATTGATTTGTCATATCCACATATATCCCCATACTTTGATGGTTGATGGCGAACGTTCGCCATCAACCAACAGGGTTTTCAACATTGTTGGTTTATGTATGATATAATGTAGTATATTCGTATATCCTATAAAATATCCTCATTATGTACCCAGCCAACTGCCTATTATCCCCACTGCCATAGTTATTACTTATCATCAATATGGACGATAATAGTATCTATATACTAAGGCATATTCACATCAATAACAATGAGTAGCTAATAATATGAACAGGTGTATTATACTAGTCATATCTATATTAATCAACTGTATATAATATTATGATCAAATATTAGTATATGATCATAGCTGCTGAGTATGATTAGTTAATAAACATAGAAACTACTCATTAACATTACATATCAACTAATATAATAACGAATAATATATCTATGTGAACTGCTCAGGTGGCTTTGTGCACCTTCTTTGTGACCACATGGCAACTTCTTCGACGTTCCAAGCGAGCCAACTGTCCATCCGTTCCTGGCTCCTGGCTCCTTGGGACCCTCTTGGGACCCGGGGACCCACAGGTGGAGATAGGAGGGATACCCTACCCTGTTGAAAGAAAACAGTGGGAAATCCTCTAAACACTGTGTATATATATATATATATACATATATATATACATATATATATATACATATATATATACACATATATACAGGTTTTTCTTCATGAAAACATTGTCTATGAACTGGCATGTTGCATTGTCAATGGGTTCGTCAAATGCATT